AGACGTATTTGCAGAGTCTCTCCGTCGTACATCAGTCGGGTGTCGAACCGTACAGTTCTGCAGATCAGCCAACAGACGCCTCTGAGCCATAGTCTTGCGCGTAGACAGATGTTGTACATGGGCCATTTGGCGAGAAGACCAGACGAGGATCCAGTCAGAAGCTCGGTATTTGAGCCGGGCGGTCTGGTTCTCAAGAGCCTTCTTGGGAAAAGGAGAAGAGGCCGCCCGAGACAGTCTTGGGGGCCCATGGTGCTGAAGAACTGCTTGAATGTTGCCGGCTCCCATGAGCGACTTGCTGATTACTTCCGCCGAGAGGGCGGTGCAGCTCGCAGGTGGGAGCAGGCGGTCGAGGCATGGGCGGCGAGCTGAAGGCATCCGTTTCCGTGCACATTTTCACCCATTGCTCACGCGCTGTGGCCGGCGCAAGGCTTCTGGACTGGACTGGACTTGTGGCCCCCCCCTTCATTTTGAGTGGCCCCGACGGCCGCATGTTAGATATCCCCCTGGGAGCCCCAAGAGGCTTCAGGAAGCCCCAGGTGGGGTCCAGGAGGCCACAGGAGGCCCAGGAGGAAGCCCCAGGAGGTCACCAGGAGGCCCCAGGAGGCCCCAGGAGGCCCACGCAACTCGGAGCTCTGAGACGCCGCGCTCGAGGTGGTCCGGCCCGTTTCGCCTGAGACTTCCTCGCAGCACGTTTCGCCCGAGACATCGTCGCAACTCTGGGGTCCGAGATGCCGCGCGCGAGGTGGTCCAGCCCGTTACGCTGGAGACATCCTCGCAACTCTGGGCTCCGAGATGCCCTGCGCGAGGTGGTCCGGCCCATCTCGCCTGAGACATCCTCGCAACTCTGAGCTCTGAGATGCCGTGCGAAAGGTGGTCCGGCCCGTTTCGCACAAGACATTCTCGCAACTCTGAGCTCTCAGATGCTGCGCAAGAGGTGGTCCAGCCTGGGGGCCCAGAAGACCACATGTTACATATCTCCTTGGGACCCTGGGAGCCCCAGGAGGCCCCAGAGAGCCCCAGGAGGCCGCAGGACGCCCAGGACAGGCCCCAGGGGTCCACAGGAGACTCCCGGGAGGCTCCAAGGAGGCCCCAGGAGGCCCCCTTATCAGAACGTGTCAAGTTAATACACATCCGGTGTCGATTCGTTGATTTTTCCTGCTCTTGTGGCCCCCCTTCCGTTTCGGGAGGCCCCGACGGCCACATGTTAGATATCACCCCCTGGGAGCGCCAAGAGACTTCAGGAAGCCCCAGGTGGGGTCCAGGAGGCCACAGGATTCCCAGGAGGAAGCCCCAGGAGGTCACCAGGAGGTCCCACGAGGCCCCAGGAGGCCCCCGCAACTCGGAGCTCTGAGACGCCGCGCTCGAGGTGGTCCGGCCCGTTTCGCCTGAGACTTCCTCGCAACACGTTTCGCCCGAGACGTCGTCGCAACTCTGGGGTCCGAAATGCCGCGCGCGAGGTGGTCCAGCCCGTTACGCTGGAGACATCCTCGCAACTCTGGGCTCCGAGATGCCCTGCGCGAGGTTGTCCGGCCCATCTCGCCTGAGACATCCTCGCAACTCTGAGCTTTGAGATGCCGTGCGCAAGGTGGTCCAGCCCGTTTCGCACAAGACATCCTCGCAACTCTGAGCTTTCAGTTTCTGCGCAAGAGGTGGTCCAGCCTGGGGGCCCAGAAGACCACATGTTACATATACCCCCTGGGACCCAAGGAACCCCAGGAGGCCCCAGAGAGCTTCAGGAGGCCGCAGGACGCCCAGGACAGGCCCCAGGGGTCCGCAAGAGATTCCCAGGAGGCTCCCAGGAGGCCCCAGGAGGCCCCCTATCAGAACGTGGTGGCGTCCAGGAGGCCACAGGAGGCCCAGGAAAGCCCCAGGAGGTCACCAGGAGGTCCCACGAGGCCCCAGGAGGCCTCCGCAACTCGGAGCTCTGAGACGCCGCGCTCGAGGTGGTCCGGCCCGTTTCGCCTGAGACTTCCTCGCAACACAATTCGCCCGTGACATCGTCCCAACTCTGGGGTCCGAAATGCCGCGCGCGAGGTGGTCCAGCCCGTTGCGCTGGAGACATCCTCGCAACTCTGGGCTCCGAGATGCCCTGCGCGAGGTGGTCCGGCCCATCTCGCCTGAGACATCCTCGCAACTCTGAGCTTTGAGATGCCGTGCGCAAGGTGGTCCGGCCCGTTTCGCACAAGACATCCTCGCAACTCTGAGCTCTCAGTTTCTGCGCAAGAGGTGGTCCAGCCTGGGGGCCCAGAAGACCACATGTTACATATACCCCCTGGGACCCAAGGAACCCCAGGAGGCCCCAGAGAGCTTCAGGAGGCCGCAGGACGCCCAGGACAGGCCCCAGGGGTCCGCAAGAGATTCCCAGGAGGCTCCCAGGAGGCCCCAGGAGGCCCCCTATCAGAACGTGGTGGGGCCCAGGAGGCTACAGGAGGCCCAGGAGGAAGCCCCAGGAGGTCACCAGGAGGTCCCACGAGGCCCCAGGAGGCCCCCGCAACTCGGAGCTCTGAGACGCCGCGCTCGAGGTGGTCCGGCCCGTTTCGCCTGAGACTTCCTCGCAGCACGTTTCGCCCGAGACATCGTCCCAACTCTGGGGTCCGAAATGCCGCGCGCGAGGTGGTCCAGCCTGTTACGCTGGAGACATCCTCGCAACTCTGGGCTCCGAGATGCCGTTTGGGATGAAGAGGAGGTGGAGGAGGAGGAGGAGGAGGAGGAGGAGGAGGAGGCATGTTTTAACATGCCATGCCAGGCCGCACTGGACGGGCACGCAATCGACGTTGGAAACCGCAGTGGGTCTAAAAACCCTGTTTGGGGATACTGCACTCTGGCTATAATTTTGTTTCTCGCTGATCCAGGATGCTCCTCGGTGGTCCTCGCCGAGAAGAGGCGCACACGTCCGAGCAATGCCAAGGCGTATGCTTTGACCCATCGGGCGCTGCTGTGCTTGTCGCTTGCGCTGCCGCCATTCCTTTCGCCGCTTGCCGAGGTCTTGCGGCAATTTGTATTGCCGCTGTACCCAAGTCGAGTGCCGGCCGATCCAGACGCTACAATCTTGGGGGTGAAAGTCCGCCCAACAACATTGGCGCTGATCGATGCCAGATCGGCGCTCTCATCGCACCAGACGCTAGTCGACGCTGGCGCGCTCCAAACGCGGAACTACGAGGGTATACAAGGGCACCGTGACTTGCCACCGGGAAGTAGGACGAGGGGGAAGACGACACAGGGGGGCTGCCCTGCCGCGGGCTGTGCAGTCTGCATCGCCCTGCTCCTGTCCGGGACCCCGCTCCGAGGGCCGGACCCTGGGACCCCTCCCGGGCGCCGTCGTCGTGATTTCTGCTCCGGCTTGCGTCCCGCCGTGGCGTCGAGGGCCCTCCCGGCCGGAAGCGCGAAGCTATGATGAGGTCGGGCATGACCTCCTACAGGCGGATTTTGGGCGAAACATAAAACATAGTCCACATATATATATATATATATCTACATAGATGTATATATATATATACATATATATATATATATATATCATTTTCATCAACCAGCAGAAATCATAGGAAAATCGTCCCCAGGCAATTTCTAAAACTATTTTTGAGTATTCCTCCTGGTAGAGGGACCCGCCCGACTTGGATGTAAGATTCCGCTGTGATGCAGCGCGGCTGGATCACGAGGACGCGCGTGTGAGGATGCCATGCCCTTGGACGCACACATGCAAGCCGAAGCTGGAAGCCCATGGGCCATGGTGAGAGGCTTGCATAGGCCGCGAGGCAAGGACGCATGGGGTCCCCTTTGAAGGGGCCCGTGCGCGCACAGAGAAACACTCACAGATCCCAGGATCCCCCTATTTTCGGATATATTTTCTGGGAGTCGACGATCCATGGTGTCTGTGTGTGTGTTCCCCTCCCTTCCTGACCCGTGGAACGTGCCTCGTCCTCACGATGCGGTTCGACTGCGGCCTCCCTGCCCCCAGCCCTGCCAACCCGCTCCCTACGAGAGCCCCTCGAGCGAGGAGCAGGGCCCGAGGCGTGCGGGCGAGCGGCTGCCCTGCGTGATCCGTGACGGCATCGCCGGAGGGTGCCCGCGTCGGGTGGAACCGAACGGGTAGGATAGCAGAGGGCAGGGCGGAGAGTCTGCCCACGCAGCTGGTTTTCCTGGCGCCTCGTGGCGCCGGGAGACGCCCGCGCATCGAGGCATGGGCCCGGCGGCTGGACCGGAACCCTGTCCCTACAGTGGGACCCAGGCCAGACGAGCATCCCGCAAGAACGCGAGACCCTCCGTCGGCCAAGACGCACAGAACCTCCAAGGGCACCCTCCCCAGGGTGCACAGGGACATCCAACAAGCACGAGGAACACTAAGGTGCCCTCCCCGAACCAGCCTCGAATTTATGCCTCGGTCCGACCGTACCCGCCCTCTCAGCGCTGCCCCCGAGTCTGCGCACCGAACTCACCTCAACCCGCGTGACTTGGCACCCGGGCCCCCTGGGGGGATGCTCGGCCAAGGGTGCCTGCCTGGCGGCGCCCCGCAAGAGGCCCCTCCCAGACGCGGCGCGGCGGAACAGTCGCGGGGCCACCTCGATGCTCCGCCTCCTGCTCCTCCCTCGGCCCACCTCCTCCTCGGTCGGCTGGTCGCTCGAAGCGCGAGAGGGGTCGGACACCAAGGCTCCCTCCCCGAACCAACCTCGATCTGATACCTCGGTCCGACCCTATGCCCCCCCCCCGCTCGTTCGGCCCGACCCTGGGGAAGTCGGCTCGTCCTCTCGGGTCGGGCGAAAGAGGGGATAGCAAAGGGCGGGTTTGAGAATCAGCTCACGTAGCTGATTTTCCCGGCGCCTCCCGGCGCCGGAGGCGGCCATGTATCGAGGAATGGGCCCCTCGGTGAGGCCGAAACCAGCTGCATGCAGCAAATTTCGTAACCCCCCCTTTCCCAATCCCCCCCTTTCGCCCGACCCGATCCTCGCGGGTGCGGTCTGCCCGCAGGGTCGCGCGCAAGAAGGAAAGGGGGGCCGGGCGGCCTGCTCGCGCAGCCTCAGCTCCGGCCGCGGCTCGCCCCCGCGTCGGCCGCCTTCGCCACAGACCGACGCGGTCCGCCCCACCCCCCATTCCTTCTCCTCCTCCTCCTCCTCCTCCTCCTCCTCCTTCTCCTCCTCCTCCTCTCCTCCCCTCCTCGTGCTCCTCATTCTCCTCCTCCTCCATTCTCCTCCTCCTCGTTCTCCTCCTCCTCCTCCTCCTCCTCCTCCTCCTCCTCCTTCTCCTCCTCTCCTCGTGCTCCTCATTCTCCTCCTCCACCTCCTCCTCCTCCTCCTCGTTCTCCTCCTCCTCCTCCTCCTCCTGCTCTCTCTCTCTCTCTCTTTCCTCCTCCCCCTTCCTCCTCCTCCTCCTCCTTCTCCTCCTCCTCCTCCTCGTCCTCCGCCTTCTGCCTGGAAACTCCCCCGACACCCCTCAGCGTGCAGTCGACCCGCGTAAGAAGGAAGCACGATCAGGATGCAGGGGCTCGGAAAGCCATGCCGAGACTCTGCGAGCGGGGCGCGGCCAGCGAGAGCGGCCAGGGATGGGCCGAATGGGGAAGGATGCAAGGGTAGCCTTGGAAAGTTGCTCATCCTTCCTACGCGGGGCAGCGAACGAGGGGGGGAAGTGAGAAGGAGAAGGTTTTCTCAGAAGGCGGCGGGACTTCTCACAAGCCCCCGCGCCTTCTGAGACACCTTCTGCGTCTTCGGGAAATGCTCGGAACACTTCTCAGAAGGCGAAGGCGACTTCCGAGCCTTCTGGGGAGGCCGCCGACTGTAACCTGTCGACTCAGTGTGACGCCGCGTATCTGATTTACGTATCTAGGTCACGCGACTTGAGCAAGGACCGACCGTCCCGTCATTCCTACAGGCCTACCACGACATGCTCCTAGAAGCAAACCGTGCTCGAATAGAAGAAACCCATGCCCTTATAACATAAGCCGTGTGTGTTAAAACAAGACAGTCCCAGCCAGACATGCTGTGAGAACACTGCGTGCAGACCACCAAGAGGTTCGTATCACATCTTTTGGCGGGCCTATAGCAGAACCTCCTAGATGGGGTCGGAATAGATGGGGTCGGAGGACCGCACCGCATCGGCTTTACATCGACGATGCATCGGCGATGCATCGCCAATGCCCTGGCGATGCATCGTCGACGTCGGCGATGCATCGGCGATGTCGACGTGAAGAAAATCGGGCTCCACACCGGGCCGCATCGGCGACGCATCGGCCATGTGGCGCGATGCCCCGACCCTAGCTGCTCCGACCCAGAGTAGAGCTGGGGGATGATGATGATGATGATGATGATGATGAGGAGGAGGAGGAGGAGGAGGAGGAGGAGGAGGAGGAGGAGGAGGAGGATAGGAGAGAGGAGGAGGAATGAGCAGAGGAGAGGAGAGATGGGGGAGGAGAGGAGAGGAGGAGGGGAGAGGAGGAGGAGGAGGAGGAGGAGGAGGAGGGAGGAGGAGGAGAGATGGGGGCGAAGGAGGAGGAGGAGGAGGAGGAGGAGGAGGAGAGGAGAGGAGGAGTAGGAGGAGGAGGAGGAGGAGAAGGAGGGAGGAGGAGGAGGAGGAGGAGTGAGGATGGGATGTAGATGAGGAGGAGGAGGAGATGAGGAATGAGGTGAGGAGGAGGAGGATGAGGAGGAGGAGCATGAGGAGGAGGAGAGATGGGGGAGGAGGAGGAGGAGGAGGAGGAGGAGGAGGAGGAGGAGGAGGAGGAGGAGGAGGAGGAGGCCCCAGCCAGGAGGCCCAGGATACAGGGAAGCCGAGACGCCTCGCCGCTGCTCGCGCGCCTCGCGCGCCCGCGGTGCGCGCCGCGCGGCCCTCGCCGCGCCCTCGCGGCCCCCGCGCCCCCCCCCCCTCCTTTCGGGGGGGAATCACAAACGAAAAACACAACAAAAACACACACGCGTGTTGGAAACAAAAACACACACGTGTTTTGTTTGTTTTTTTGTTGTCTCACGTGTGCTTGTTTTCCCCCACGTGTTTGTTGTTGTTGTTTTTGTGTTTTTTTGTTGTGTTTTTGTTGGTTGTGCCTCTTTTTTCTGTGTGTGTGTGTGTGTGTGTTTGTTCCCTCCCCGCGGCCGGCGGAACCACCCCCCGTTTTGCTGCCACGGGCTCCCCCCGAGGGAGGAGAAGTCCGCCTGCTGGTCCCTCGAGAAGGAGCGGGCGACGAGAGCGGCACAGCGCGAGCGCGTGCGCCGTCGGGGGAGCCTGCAGGGCGGCTGCAGACATCGGGCCCTCGGAGGCCGCTCGGGGATCTTCGGACCCGGGTCGATCCAGACCCGGGTCGGTCAGGCCTTGTGGAATCCTGCGAGAGCCTGCAAGATCCTGCACCCGAGCCCGGGCCAGCGCCACGGATCCTGCAGGATCCTGCACCCAGGCCCGGGTCAATGCGACCCTTGCCCCGGCTGACCCTCGTTTGCACTGACCCCCGTCTCTTCAGCCCCGACGAAGCAAGCATATACCCCTCTCCGGGTTTGTGGGCCGACCGTGTGCTGTTCGCCCTTTTAACATCTTGACTTGGGCAGGGGCATGTCTCGCATTCCCGTTTGCAGCGATCGGCGACTCCAAAGGGTGTGGTTTGCAAAGGGCGTGGTTTGCAACCGGCACCCTGGGGAACATCCTGGGGGGCACCCTTGGGGGGCGCGCGGGGACCTCGATAGAGTTCTCCCGCGCCCCGAGAAGGCCCGACGAGGACAGTGTCGTGCCCCCCAGGCCCCAACGGTGCCGATCGCAAACCACACCCCGGCGTAACCATACCCTTTGTAGTCGGAGGAGGAGGCGGAGGAGGAGGAGGAGGAGGAGGAGGAGGGAGGGAGGGAGGGAGGGAGGGAGGAGGAGAGAGGAGAGAGGAGGAGGAAGAGTCTCCAGGCCCCCGGCCCCGGGACGGGGGCAGCCGCTCCGGCCCCCCGGAGCGCGGCGCGCGCAGCGCGGCTGGCTCTCTCTGCGTCCCGGCGGGGGCCCTGGGCTCGCTGCGGCGGCCTGGAGGCGAGACAACGGGCCCGGGGACACGCACACACCGGTAATACAGGATGACGATTTATTGAATCGCTTCGCTCATTCCGCCGGCCCGTGATATGGCGTCGCTGGTTTTTGTCTGTGTGTTCGTTGCCCATGTTGCGCTCTTGGGGGCGGGTGTCGTTCGGACGCGTTGCGTGGGGAGTTTTGATGGTGAAGCAGTTCCCTGGGGGTCGTCTCTCGATGGGGCGAAATAGAGTCGTCGTCAAGATGCTTCTTTGGGGGGCCTCTTGGGGTCTGTTGAGAGGCCGTTCGGGGGCGCCTGGGAGACATGTTTGAAGCCTTCTGGGGCTTCTTTTGGGCCTCCTGGGAGTCTCCTGGGGCCTCTTGGCGACATCTTGGGGCCTCTTGGAGGCCTCTTGGGGCCTCTTTGGGACCTCCTGGGCGCCTTCTGGGACGGAGGGCTCCATTTTTGAGTTCTCGGTATCCCTCCTGAGTCCCTCTTGGGCCCGTCTTGGGGCCTCTTGGTCCGTCTTGGGCGGCACTTGGGCCGTCTTGAGGGCTCTCTTGGGTCGTTTCGGCGCCGTCTTGGGAGCTTCGTGGGCCGTCTTGGAGCGGTCTTGGGGGCCTCTTGGGCCGTCTTGGAGCGTCCGGAAGCCGAAAAAGCCAGAACACAAAAAACATAGAAAAAAACCAATGAAAATCAACGATTTTGGCCTCTTGGGGCTCTCTTCGGAGGCCTCTTGGAAGGCTCTTGGGGCGTCTTGGAGGCCTCTTGGGCTGTCTTGGGGGCCTTTTGGGCCGTCTTGGGGTCATCTTCGGCGTCTTCGAGCGCTCTTTGGGCGTCTCGGGGGCCTCTTGGGCAGTCTTGGGGGCCTCTTGGGGCACTCTGAGCGCGCTCTGGGGAGCCTGAGAGGCCGCACCCAGAAGGAAAACCATCTCTGAGTAGACTTGATGTATTAAAAAAAAATCCCGGCAAAGCAACCTAACAGCGATGTGTAGAAGCATATCTGGAAGCATCCCCCTTAAGATTCAGATGAGAATCCAGTTGTAGAATTCTGCTGTTCTCGCAGTCGCAGTCGCATTCGCGATGACAGTCGCAGTGGCAGCGGCAGTCGCAGTCACAGCCTCAGCCTGCCTCAGCCTCAGCCTCAGCCTGCCTCAGCCTCAGCCTGCCTCAGCCTCAGCCTCAGCCTGCTTCAGCCTCAGCCTCAGTCTGCCTTCAGCCTCAGCCTCTGTGCCTCAGCCTGCCTCAGCCTCAGCCTGCCTCAGTATCAGTCAGCTTCAGCCTCAGCCTCAGCCTGCCTCAGCCTCAGCCTCAGCCTGCTTCAGCCTCAGCCTCAGCCTGGCTTCAGCCTCAGCCTCAGCCTCAGCCTGCCTCAGCCTCAGCCTGCATCAGCCTCAGCCTCAGCCTCACCCTGCCTCAGCATCAGCCTGCCTCAGCGTCTGCCTCAGCCTGCCTCAGCCTCAGCCTCAGCCTCAGCCTCAGCCTCAGCCTGCCTCAGCCTCAGCCTCAGCCTGCCTCAGCATCAGCCTGCCTCAGTCTCAGCCTCAGCCTGCCTCAGCCTCAGCCTGCTTCAGCCTGCAGCCTCAGCCTCAGTCTGCCTTCAGCCTCAGCCTCTGTGCCTCAGCCTGCCTCAGCATCAGCCTGCATCCGCCTCAGCCTCAGCCTCAGCCTCAGCCTGCCTCAGCATCAGCCTGCCTCAGCGTCTGCCTCAGCGTCTGCCTCAGCCTCAGTCTGCCTTCAGCCTCAGCCTCAGCCTCAGCCTGCCTCAGCATCAGCCTGCCTCAGCCTCAGCCTCAGCCTCAGCCTGCCTCAGCCTCAGCCTGCCTCAGCGTCTGCCTCAGCCTGCCTTCAGCCTCGGCCTCAGCCTCAGCCTGCCTCAGCCTCATCAGCCTCAGCCTGCCTGCCTCAGCCTCAGCCTCAGCATCAGCATCACCATTCTCAGCCTCTGCATCAGCATCAAAATGTGGCCCAGGAATGGAGTTCTGGGAACTCGAAGAGCACGAAGTGGCCCACAGTTGGCTCCGGGCATTCAAAATGTGGCCCGGGAATGGAGTTCTGGGCACTCGAAGAGCACGAAGTGGCCTACAGTTGGCTCCGGGCATTCAAAATGTGGGCCCGGGAATGGAGTTCTGGGCACTCGAAGAACACGAAGTGGCCTACAGTTGGCTCCGGGCATTCAAAATGTGGCCCGGGAATAAACTTATGGGAACTCGAAGAGCACGAAGTAGCCTACAGGTGGCTCCGGGCATTCAAAATGTAGCCCGGGAATGGAGTTCTGGGCACTCGAAGAGCACGAAGTGGCCTACAGTTGGCTCCGGGCATTCAAAATGTGGCCCGGGAATGGAGTTCTGGGCACTCGAAGAGCACGAAGTGGCCTACAGTTGGCTCCAGGCATTCAGAATGTGGCCCGGGAGTGGAGTCCTGGGAGGTCGAAGAGCACGAAGTGTGTGACTGTTTGCGAAAAACGCGTTCGGACACGAGTTCGGACACAGCTCCCCGGGTCCCGCCCCGACCCCCCTGTGGAGTCATCTGCTGCTCTCTTTTGACACCACTAGAAACCTATCAGCAAAAGCTGTTAGGTAATTAAAAAACAATTAAAAACATAGATTCTTGCTATTTCTGCATAAGTTTCTGACTGGAGGAGAACGATTTTAAAAAAATAGTTTTCCAGCCCGCGGCCGGTATTTCCTAATCGTCATCCCGGGCGCCGCCGCGTGAACACGACCCCCGGTCATTTATCAACCGTCATCCTCCATTAGGCGCAGCTCCCAGGATCCCCTCATGTTTTCCCATGTCTTCTGGGTTCTCGCCTCTCCCCCCCCCCCGCCCCCACTTCCCACAGGCTCCCAGATTATCCTGTGGGTCGACGCTGAATGGTGCCTGTGTGCGTGCTTGTCCCCCTCCTGCGATGAGCGCAACGGCAACGGTTGCCACCCAATGCGTATGCAGACGGGCATAGGCAGAGTCGGTGGCTGCTGCACGAGGGACAATGTGGTTTCTTGCGCGCAGGGGGTGGCAGAGTCGGTCTGACTGACACGCAGAAGCAGGAACATATGCAGCAGTCGGGTATCGCCTACACGGAGGGCTGAGTGCCAAATCCCCACGCTCACCCACCACAGACCCGTCGCAACAAAACTGGGCTCACACTGGCATCAAAGACAGGAGGCAGATCGCCTCAGGAGTTATCAGTTCGGGCCATCGAAGCCAGACGAGGCCAGACTACACCAGGCAATGGCCACTGCATGCAGCACAATGCAAACGACAATTTGAGGCACTGGCCGCTGGTTGGGCTGGCGGGAACATGCGAAGCGTTGATGATACGGTGCGGGCGCGGCCGTAAGAAACCCTCGCAACAAACCCAACCCTGAAAACCGGCTCACGAGGTGCACCTGAGGGGAAACCCTGAGCACCTTGAACGCAGCGGCTTCGCCAAGGGCTGCGGGAAGTCACCGCGCAGCGCGCGGAGCGATACCCTGACGGAAAACATGTGGCTTCTTGATGCGCGCCCCCACTGTAAGGCAGGCCGGGCCGCTGCTGCACAGAGGACCACTGCACGCTCAGCCATGGCGCCCGGCCCCTCTGGCCAGAGGAGGCACCGTCTCCGGCGCCCGTGGCGGGAGGTGCCAGCAGGTCAAAGCACCTGTTGCCGCGCAGCTCCACGTACTGGCAGGACATGCAGGCCTCATGATGGCAGCAGGTGTGTGTGTGTGTCTGTGCGTGTGAGAGGGTGTGAGAGCTTGTGAGATAGAGGGGGGGGAAGCAATACACATGAGGATACGCGGTTTCGATCCACAATAATACCTGCGAGACGAAACATAGGACAGATAGAGAGAAAGAGAGAGAGAGAGAGATGAGGAGAGCGTTCGAGACAGAGAAAGAGGAAGATATGAGTATTGATGTACGAGCAATCAAAATTATAGGTATGTCTTAATCGGAAACTGGGAAATGATACCAACCAGAAGGAGAGTCGCCGAACCGGGAAATCGATTTCGGATTTCCTGTCGTGCGTGACGCACGTGCGGGAGATGCGAGGTGAAGCTGCGCGAGCTCCTGCTCTCATAGATGACAAATCCAGCCAAAAGGAGTTGGACCGCGCCAGGCCCAGCAGTAGATGCAGGTTGTCCCGATGGTTGTCCCCCGATTGTTGTCACGATGGTCGTCTCGACGATTATACCGACGGTTGTCCCGATAGTTGTCCCGATTGTTACCCCGACTGCTGTCCCGATGGTTGTCCCGATAGTTGTCTTCATGGTTGCCCCGATCGATGTCCTGATGGTTGTCCCGACGATTGTCCCGATGGTTGTCCCGATGGATCTGCCGATGGTTTCCCGATGAGTGTACAGACGGTTGACGCGATGGTTGTCCCAATGGGTCTGCGAGGGCATCATACAAAAAATGTGGTCCACGAGGCCACCCTACAAAATATGGCATGCGGGGCATAACATACAACTTATGATGTAAATGCGTTGAAGATGGTACACATTTGTAGATCTACATATATATATATATATATATATATTGGTATTCTGGAACGGGTGGAGAGACAGTGATATAGGCATATTACATGGATCTGTCCCGATGGTCGTCGCGATGATCATCCCGATGGTTGTTCCGATGGTCGTCCTCATGGTTGTCCCAATGATTGTCCCGATGGTTGTCTCGATGGTCACCACGATGGTTGTCCCGATGATTGTCTCCATGACTGTCCCGACGGTTTTCTCGATGGTTGTCTCGATGGTTATTCCGACAATTGTCTTCATGGTTGGCCCGATGGTTGTCGCCATGATTGTCCCGGTGGGTTCCCCGATGGTTGTCCTGACGAATGTCCCAATTGTTGTCCCGATGGTTATCCCGATACTTGTCTTCATGATTGTCTCGGTCGTTGTCCCGATGGAAGTCCCGACGGTTGTCCCGATGGCTTGCCCCGACGGTTGACGCGATGGTTGTCCCTATGGGACTGCGAGGCCATTATACAAAAAATGCGCCCTGCGAGGCTACCATGCAAAACGTCGCCATTCGGGACAGAACGTATTAGCACTGCTACATAATGACACGTACACATCGAATGATAATGTCCCAACTGTTGTCGTGATGGTTGTCCTGATTGCTGTTTCGATGGCTGTCCTGATATTTGTCCCGATGGCTGTCCCGATAGTTGCCTTGATAGTTGTCCCTATACATCCATTAATTGTTGTCACGATGGTTGTCCCGACGGTTGGCTCGATGGGTTTCCCGATGGCTCTTCCAATGGTTCTGCGAGGCCATAATCCTACACAACATGTGCTGTGTGAGGCCACTATACAGAAAACTGTTCCCTGCGAGGCCATCATGCAAACAAATCCGCCCCGCGGGGCAAACAATCCTGGCGGAGACCCCAAACATATGCCGTTGCGGACAACACAATTACGAGAATCGTCTTCGGTGGCGCTCCCCATAGGACCACGGAACGTGTGATGGGTGTGCCGAAGTGGGCGGGGAGCCGCATGTGGACCTTCCCTCGGGGGTCCTCGGTATAGCTCCACATGGAGCCGCGAAACGTTGGAGGTGTGTGCCGAAATAAGCGGGGAACCGCATGTGGACCTACCCTCGGGGGCCTTCGGTGGAGCTCCACATGGAGCCGCGAACCGCGTGAGGGGTGTGCCGAGTTGGGCGGGGCGCCGCATGTGGACCTACCCTCGGGGGCCTTCGGTGGAGCCCCGTTCTGGGCCACGAAACGCGTGAGGTTTGTGCCGAGTTGGGCTGGGAGCCGCATGTGGACCCTCCCACCGGGGCCTTCGGTGGGCTTCCCTGCGGGGCCCCGGAACGCGTGAGGGGTGTGCCGAAACAAAGGCATGCGGAGGGCAGAGGCAGAGATGGAAGGAGGGGGAGGAGGAGGAGGAGGAGGAGGAGGAGGAGGAGGAGGAAGAGGAGGAGGAGGAGGAGGAAAAGGAGGAAAAGAAGGAGGAGGAGGATAATGACAACGTGGGTGCCTGCTGATCCCAAACGAGAACCCAACACCACATGATGATTGCGAACATGTCTCACATTGCCCTGTGGGGCAAACCACCAATCTGTATATATATATATATATATATATATGCCACCGTGCCTTCGGACATGGAGTGGGCGTCCTGGGGGTTCTTTTTTTCCCAACCCTCCTTGGTTGGGCACTCGTTTTGAATAGAGCACTGCGGTCGCGTCCTTCTTCTCCCGCCTCCCGCCTCTCGCTTTCCTCTTGTCTCCTCTTGTCTTGTGCGTACCTCGTGTGTGCTTGTGTGTGCATCCTGGCTGCGGTACCTCTTGTGTGTGCATCTTGCCAAGGGGCTGCGATCTGTGACACTGTCGCCAGTTTCGAGGGCTGCTGGTGGCTCCTGCGAAGTGAGACACCGCGGGTACCTGAGCGAGACCTCGCCGTCCATGGGTGGCTGCGATCTGCGACAATGTCACCACTTTCGAGGGCTGCTGGTGGGTCCTGCGGGGTGAAGCACCGCGGGGACCTGAGCGAGACCTCGCCGTCCCGGGGGGGCTGCGATCTGCGACACTGTCGACACTTTCGAGTGCTGCTGGTGGGTCCAGCGGAGTGAGGCACCGTGGGGACCTGAGCGAGACCTCGCCGTCCCTGGGTGGCTGCGATCTGCGACACTGTCGCCACTTTCGAGGGCTGCTGGTGGGTCCTGCGGAATGAGGCACCTCGAGGACCTGAGCGAGACCTCGCCGTCCCTGGGGGGCTGCGATCTGCGACACTGCCGACACTTTCGAGGGCTGCTGGTGGGTCCTGCGGGGTGAGGCACCGCGGGGACCTGAGCGAGACCTCGCCGTCCCTGGGTGGCTGCGATCTGCGACACGGTCGCCACTTTCGAGGGCTGCTGGTGGGTCCAGCGGAGTGAGGCACCGCGGGGACCTGAGCGAGACCTCGCCGTCCCTGGGTGGCTGCGATCTGCGACACGGTCGCCACTTTCGAGGGCTGCTGTTGGGTCCTGAGGAGTGAGGCAATGCGGGGGCATGAGCGAGACCTCGCCGTCCCCGGGGGGCTGCGATCTGCGACACGGTCGCCACTTTCGAGGGCTGCTGGTGGGTCCAGCGGGGTGAGGCACCGCGGGGACCTGAGCGAGACCTCGCCGTCCCTGGGTGGCTGCGATCTGCGACACTGTCGACACTTTCGAGGGCTGCTGGTGGGTCCAGCGGAGTGAGGCACCTCGGGGACCTCAGCGAGACCTCGCCGTCCCTGGGTGGCTGCGATCTGCGACACGCTCGCCACTTTCGAGGGCTGCTGGTGGGTCCTGCGGAGTGAGGCACCTCGGGGACCTGAGCGAGACCTCGCCGTCCCTGGGGGGCTGCGATCTGCGACACGGTCGCCACTTTCGAAGGCTGCTGTTGGGTCCTGCGGAGTGAGGCACTGCGGGGACCTGAGCGAGACCTCGCCGTCCCTGGGGGGGCTGCGATCTGCGACACGGTCGCCACTTTCGAGGGCTGCTGGTGGGTCCTGCGGAGTGAGGCACCGCGGTGACCTGAGCGAGACCTCGCCGTCCTGGGGGGGCTGCGATCTGCGACACTGTCGCCACTTTCGAGGGCTGCTGGTGGGTCCAGCGGAGTGAGGCACCGTGGGGACCTGAGCGAGACCTCGCCGTCCCTGGGTGGCTGCGATCTGCGACACTGTCGACACTTTCGAGGGCTGCTGGTGGGTCCTGCGGAATGAGGCACCTCGGGGACCTGAGCGAGACCTCGCCGTCCCTGGGGGGCTGCGATCTGCGACACTGTCGACACTTTCGAGGGCTGCTGTTGGGTCCAGCGGGGTGAGGCACCACCGGGATCTGAGCGAGACCTCGCCGTCCCTGGGGGGGGGCTGCGATCTGCGACACTGTCGCCACTTTCGAAGGCTGCTGTTGGGTCCAGCGGGGTGAAGCACCACGGGGACCTGAGCGAGACCTCGCCGTCCCTGGGGTGTGTGTGTGTGTGATCTGCGACGCTGTCGCCACTTTCGAGGGCTGCTGTTGGGTCCTGCGGAATGAAACACCGCGGGGACCTGAGCGAGACCTGAGCGAGACCTTCACCCACCCAGTACAGCGTTTCGTGACCCCATAAGGGGGTTCCACCGAAGGTCCCAGTGGCTCCCGCCCGATAGCCCCCCACAAATCAGAAAGAACAACATCCTCTGCCTGAGAGGCCCCCGACCACGAAGAAGAAGAAGAGGTCCCCCGCCTGAGAGGTCCTCATACGAATCAATCAATTTGAGGCTTCCGCCTGAGAGCACCCCCCCCTCCCAAAAAACTAAATAAACCCAAACGGAAGGTCTCTCATCACTGTAACTGTCACATGTTTGACCGCAAACTAGCTCCACAGGAATATGCCTCCCTTGGCAACAGGCTGGGGCAGCGGTATTTGTTCTCCTCTGGAGCTTTTTTTGGGGGAGGGGGAAACAGTTGCGAGCGAGGGACCTTGTTCTTGGGTTTCTTCAAGTTTTGGCGGGGCCTCTCAGGTGGGAGCCTCCAATTGACTGAGTTTGTTTGGTACCTCTCAGGTGGGAATCGTTTCCTCTTTGTGTTGTTTGGGGGTCTCTCAGGCGGGAGCTTCCTCCTCCTCTTCGTGGTGCTTGGGGTCCTCTAAGGCGGGAGGCCTCTCCCTCTTTGCGCTTTTGTGTGTGTGTGTGTGTGTGTGTGTGTGTGTGTGTGTGTGTGTGTGTGTGTGTGTGTGTGTGTGTGTGTGTGTGTGTGTGTGTGTGTGTGGGGGGCGTTTTCAGGCGGGATCCTATTCCTATTCGCGTTTGTTTTGTTCCGCCTCTCGGGCGAGAACTTATTCCTTTTCGCATGTGTTTGGGACCTCTCAGGCGGAAGCCGCATCCTCTTCGAGTTGTCTTGGGACCTCCTAGGCGGGAGATCCCGTTCGAGTGATTTGCTTTGGGGATCTCTGATGCAGAAGCCTCCTCTCGAGAGAACAATTGCTGGGACATCTCATGCGATGACCTCCTCCTCATCCTTTTGTGTTGTCCTCTTATGCTGGAGTCGGCTCCCGCTTTCCTCTGACGTTCTACTCTTGTACCTGCGCTTATACGCTCCGTTCTGAACTACCTGCCCCTCCCCCCTCCCCTGGACCTGGACGGGGCGCCCCACGGCACGTTGAAGAGTACAAGACGTGCTAAGCGAGACGACACGCATACTTGCTTTTACGCCAGATCGGGTGGTATGTTGGCCTCCTGGAGGGGGGGGTGCGCCAAGAGGGCCCCAAGAGGCGCTCAGGAGGCCGCAAGATGCCCCCAAGAGGTCCCACGAGGCGCCCACGAGACCACCCAAAAGGCCCCAACACGCTCACCAGAGGCACCCAATACGCTGAACGAGCCCCCCCTAGACGCCCCAAGAGGACTCCAAGAAGCCAACCACTTATTCCACTGCATGCTCCACGACATCCTTGACCAGGGCCACTCGCCTGGGCATCGTTTCTGGATGGGTTGGCGGGGTTGCGCGGACCGTTGAGAGTAGCACATCGCATGTGCATGCACAGCATATCATAATGGTAGAATCATGGTGGGCTTGTGGTTGCAATATTTCGCCCATGCAACACAGCCCCATCATGTGTTGATACGCCTCAGCCTGCACAGGGGACGGACTCGCATTGCCACTATAAAGTGCCCCCGCACACGACAGCGCAAAGCAAACCTGATGCCCGCGGTTCCTCGCGAAGCGTGCCGTCGCGGATGTGCGCAACAGGAGGGAGGAGCAGAGCGGAGGAGGACGCGGGCCAGGCAAATCAGCCAAGGCGCCGTGGTCGGGAGGCCCATGGTCCAATCGGCCATTTACAGAACCTACACAACGGCAGCCAGGAGGGGGAGGAGGGGGGGAGACAACGAGAAAGAACAGACAGGGGGCAATGACGTGCAACACTCTCGCGCGTGCGTAGCCCACGCTCCAGGGCCAGTGCCGCCAGAAGTGCCCGCGCGGAGCGCCCCGCGCGAGCCAGAAGCCGCACAGCCCGAGCAGAGCCTCGAGGCCAAGTAGAGGGGGCCGCGCCGGGTGAGCGAGCACACCGTGCAGCAGGCAAAGGGACGGAGGCGGGGGAACGGAGAGGAAGGGGAGAGCAGAGCAGGCAAGGCACGCGAACATGGAGTGCGCGCACGCGCCGAGATGATGCAGAGTCTGACTGAGGGGGCGGCGGCTCCCTGCCAGTGCCGCGACGCCTTTCCCGGCCAGCTTGCGGCGGCTTCGCATCTATCCTGCGTGTCGACGCGATCGTGGGTTTGATCCAGGACGGCTTGATCTGACACGACTTAAGTCAAATACGGTTTCGGATACTGGCTGATCGTCGGCTCGTGAACCCAATGTCCCAATGTCTCCTGTTTCGGGTCTCGTGGAAGGCAAAATTGCCAGCCAAATTTGAGCTTGCAATCTTCAGAGCCAGTCGCTCTCCAAGCAAGACCATAGTCTCGCAACATGGTCAACGCCGTGACGTCACTAACATATGCCATCCAACACTGTTTCAAACCGTCCGCCTGACAAGATGTATCCAATGGGCACGTGGAGACATCAGCGACCCTCGAGGACGCTGCACTGCTGTTCTGCCTGCCCTCCCCCCCTTGCCCAGCTGGAGCTGCGCCCCCCACAAGTGCTGCAGTGGTGGCTTCGGCGCCTGGCCGTCCGTCCCCTCGAACAGGTCGCGGGAGGCGAACTCCTGTTGCCGCGCGAGCTACCCCAAAGCGACCCGCAAAACACCTCAGACGACCTTACGTCTTTCACTGCACAGGCCAACGTCCTTTTTCTCCAGTGCCGCGCGACGGCCGCAGAAGACCCTGAGGAGCAAGCCGGAGCTCCCCCGAAGGCCCCAGTGGCAGGGTTCGCATGGCACCGCCGCCTCCATTTCGGCACACCCCTCACACGGTTGGTGGATCCATAGAGAGTTCCGCTGACGGCCCCAGTGGCAGGGTTCGTATGGCACCGCCGCCTCCATTTCGGCGCACCCCTTCCACGTTTCGTGGCCCAATAGGGAGCTCCACCGAAGGCTGCAGTGGCAGGGTTCGCATGGCATCGCCGCTTCGATTTCTGCACACCCCTTGCACGTTTCGTGGAACCGTAGGGAGCTCCGCCGACGGCCCCAGTGGCAAGGTTCGCATGGCAACGCGGGGCCACGAAACGCTGTCCTGGGTGGTGTTGACGCATGCGGCCTGTGTCACTGTAGCCTTCGGCGGAACCGCCAAGGCATTCCTCGGGGCTTCTGTTCTTGGGGCCCCACGCTCGACAATTTCGCGCCCAGAACCGACCCACGCCCTGACACCCGCCAGCCCCCCTCCAGAGCACTGCCTAGGACCTCTGTTCTTCGCGCCCCCCACTCGACAATTTCGCGCTCACAACCGACCCGCCTCACCCACCGCGTCTGACATCCGCGCCCCCTCCGACCCCTGCAGAGCACTCCCCAGGACATCTGTTCCTGGGGCCCCCCGCTCGACAATTTCTCGCCCCAAACCGACCCGCGCTCTCGCCGCGTCTGGCATCCGCACCCCCCACCCCCCTCCAGAGCTCTCCCCAGGACCTGTGTTTTCGCGCCCCCCTCGACAATTTCGCGCCCCGAACCGACCCGCGCCGCCACCTGCGTCTAACATCCGCACCCCCCCCAACCCCCTTCAGAGCACTCCCCAGGACCTCTCTTCTTGGGACACCCCACTCGACAATGTCGCGCACAGAACCAACCCTCGCCCCCCCCCACCGCGTCTGGCATCCGCACCCCCCCCCAACCCCCTCCAGAGCACTGCCCTGGCGCCCCCGCCGCGTCCGACAGCAACGCCCCCCAACCTCCTCCAGAGCACTCCCCAGGGCCTTTGTTCTTGGACCCCCCACTCTACAATGTCGCGCCCAGAACCGACCCACGACCCCCGCCGCATCTGACATTCCGCACCCCCTACTACTACTACTACTACTACTACTACTACTACTACTACTACTACTACTACTACTACTACTACTACTACTACTACTACTACTACTACTACTACTACTACTACTACTACTACTACTACTACTACTACTACTACTACTACTACTAACTACTACTACTACTACTACTACTACTACTACTACTACTACTACTACGACTACTACTACTACTACTACTACTACTACTACTACTACTACTACTACTACTACTACTACTACTACTACTACTACTAACTACTACTACTACTACTACTACTACTACTACTACTACTACTACTACTACTACTACTACTACTACTACTACTACTACTACTACCTTGTAACGCCCCTCACGGGGGTAGAAACCAAGCGTCGTGTTGTCTCCTCCTCCACTCGTGTTCTTGCGCCAGACGTCCACCCCTGAGGCTCTCGGAAGTTTCCACAAGGCTCGCAGGTGGTCAGAAAAATGCCCCGAACATCGAAGACTAAGTTATTCGAGGTTTCGTCTTCGACTCCGTTCCCAGAGCCCCGACGTGGTGTCTGTTCATCGGGTCGGCGCCCTTGTTGTCGTGAAATTATCCTCGGAGGGCCTCTTTGTGACGCTCCCGAGAGAGGGGAGGAGGGAGGAGGGAGGAGGGAAGGAGGAGGGAGGAGGGAGGAGGACGGATGGGGAGGAGGCGGATCTCGCGCACGGCGCTATCGGAGCCATCGAGGCTACGGATGAGGTAGGAGGAGGAGGAGGAGGAGGAGGAGGAGGAGGAGGAGGAAGAGGAGGAGGCGGAGGAGGAGGAGAAAGAGGAGGAGAAGGAGGAGGAAGAGGGGGAGGAAGGATTTGAAGCAGGACGGATGAGGAGAAGGATGACGACGACGAGCAGGAGGAGGAGAGGGAATGACGCCCGTCCTGGAGCCTCTTGGTGTCGCCTTGGCTCTCCTAGAGCGTGCTGGGGGTCCTGTGGCCTGTTTGGGCTCTTCGGGGCCTCTTGGGGCCTCTTGGAGCCTCCTGGGCCCTCTGGAGCTCCCTGAGTGTAATTCAGAATGGGCCCTCCTGGAGCCTCCTCGGGGGGGCTCTTGAAATCTCGTGGGCTCTCCTGGGGCCGCCATGGGCCCTCCTGGAGCCTCCGTGGGCCCTCTAAGAACTCTCTCGGGGGGGGGGGGAATGATGAAAACAATTTCACGCATGGGGGCCTTTCCGGTGAGAAGGGGGGCGCGGTGCAGATTGGGTCCTCCTGGGGCCCTCCGGAAGTCTCCAGGCACTCCCGAGGTCGCCATGGGCCCTCCTGGAGCCTCTGGGGGCCTGTAAGAAGCCTCTCGCGGGGGCTGAAAAATGACGACAGTTTCACGGATGGGAGCCTTTCCGTTGAGAAGGGGAGCGCGGTGAAAGGTAATAAAGTGACGACAGTGTCGCATTTGAGGCCCCAAATCGTCTTTGGGCACCTCGGGCGCGAATCCCGCTCCCGCATAGTACGGCGCGATTTCCCCTCCCCCCGCTGTCCCGCCAGACCCCGGGAGGGTGATTTTTGTGGTTTTCGCTTGTAAGAAACACTTCCCCTCTCGACGGTGACGGAGGGCAGGCGGCGGGGGTGGGCGGGTTGGCGGGGTGGCGGGTTGGCTGGGGTTGCGGGGTGGCTGGTTGGGCTGGTTGAGCCGGTTGAGTTGTTTGGGTGGCTGGTTGGTTGGGTTGGCTGGTTGGGCTGGCTAGGGCACTTGGTTTCGACTACTACTACTAGTACTACTACTACTACTACTACTACTACTACTACTACTACTACTACTACTACTACTACTACTACTACTACTACTACTACTACTACAAATACTACTACTATACTACTGCTACTGCTACTGCTACTGCTACTGCTACTACCACTACCACTACTACTACTACTACTACTACTACTACTACTACTACTACTACTACTACTACTACTAACCACTACTACTAACTACTACTACTACTACTACTACTACTACTACTGCTGCTACTACTACTACTACTACTACTACTACTACTACTACTACTACTACTACTACTACACTACTACGACGTTAGCTACGATTACGACTACGACTACGAAACTAACGCTACGACTACGACTCACACGAATACTACGACCTACGCTACTACTACTACTACTACTACTACTACTACTAGTCCTACTACTACTACTACTACTACTACTACTACTACTACTACTACTACTACTCCTATCCTTATTCCTTATTAAAATATACTCTTACTCCCCCGTCAGGCCGGCAGATAGGGGCCCCATCCGGGTGGTCCCATCCTAACCTGTAAAAAACAATACAAAAACAACAATTCTCTTATTTTTTCCTCTCGACATGGACGTCCTGTCGTCCACGGCGATAATCCATTGCAAAAAATACAACAAAGAGCACACGCGCGCGTTCATGTCAGAATCCTACCGAACACCTTGTGTTTGCAAGCATTTCAACATAAAAACATAAAAAAACCCAATGTTTTTTTTTCACAAAAATTGTACAAATTTCCCGCCCGGGCTCTCTTGCTGAAATCATAGGAAAACCATAGGAATCTTAAGAATTCGGTCACATCCAGCGATTTCACGTCATCGCGCGGTGCACTCGCGATGCTCTGTCATGCACCCAGGCCGCGAATCCTGTGCAAAATATACCACAAAGAGCACACTCGCGCGTTCATGTCAGAATCCTACCGAACACCGTGTGTTTGCAAGCATTTCAACATAAAAACATCAAAAACCCAATGCTTTTTCACATAAATGCTTTGGGGTTTCCTGTCAGACCGTCGGGTTTCCTCCGGCCACCTCTGGCTTCCTGCGGTGTACCGGGCCATTCTCGACTCGTCTGGCAATGCGTGCGCGGCATTCAACACGCGCTCGCCAGTTCCCGTCGGCAACCGCCATCGCGGCCGCATCAGCTGTAACAAACCGGCTGGCCGGTGTGACTTCGGCCCCCAGTTGTGCCAGCTTTGCTTCTTATGTTGTGGGAGGGCGGGTGGGACTGGGCATGCCATGCTTGACTCGCTCGAGCTGGCTAGCTTGACTCCAACTCCTACTCCTACTCCTACTCCTACTCCTATCCTTATTCCTTATTAGAATATACTCCTACTCCCCCCTCAGGCCGGCAGATAGGGGCCGCATCCGGGTGGTCCCATCCTAACCTGTAAAAAACAATACAAAATCAACATTTTTCTTATTTTTTCCTCTCGACATGGACGTCCTGTCGTCCTCGGCGATAATCCATTGCAAAAAAAACCACAAAGAGCACACGCGCGCGTTCATGTCAGAATCCTACCGAACACCGTGTGTTTGCAAGCATTTCAAAAGAAAAACATCGAAAACCCAATGCTTTTTCACAAAAATTGTACAAATTTCCCGCCCGGGCTCTCTTGCTGAAATCATAGGAAAACCATAGGAATCTTAAGAGTTCTGTCAAATCCAGCGATTTCGCGTCATCGCGCGGTGCACTCGCGATGCTCTGTCATGCACCCAGGCCGCGAATCTTGTGCAAAAAATACCACAAAGAGCACACTCGCGCGTTCATGTCAGAATCCTACCGAACACCGTGTGTTTGCAAGCATTTCAACATAAAAACATCAAAAACCCAATGCTTTTTTCACAAAAATGCTTTGGGGTGTCCTGTCAGACCGTCGGGCTTCCTCCGGCCACCTCTGGCTTCCTGCGGTGTACCAGGCCATTCTCGACTCGTCTGGCAATGCGTGCGCGGCATTCAACGCGCGCTCGCCAGTTCCCGTCGGCAACCGCCATCGCGGCCGCATCAGCTGTACCAATCCGGCTGGCCGGTGTGACTTCGGCCCCCAGTTGTGCCAGCTTTGCTTCTTATGTTGTGGGAGGGCGGGTGGGACTGGGCATGCCATGCTTGACTCGCTCGAGCTGGCTAGCTTGCCATCCTACCCGACTCCTACTCCTATAACTACTTCCTACTCCCCTACTCTCCACTACCTACTACTACTACTACACTACTACTACTATCTACTACTACTACTACGACGACGACGACGACGACGACGACACTACGACGACGACGAAGACGTAACCTACTACTTGCTGCTGCTGCTGCGCTGCTGCTGCTACTGCTACTGCTACTGCTGCTACTGCTACTGCTACTGCACTGCAACTGCTAACTCCTACTCCCTACTCCTACCTCGCCTACTACTACTACTACTACTACTACTACTACTACTATTTCTACCACTACTACTACTACTACTACTAAACTACTACTACTACTACTACTACTACTACTACTACTACTACTACTACGACTACTACTACTACTACTACTACTACTACTACTATTACTACTCGTACTACTAGTATTACTACTACAACTACTTCTACTACTGCTACTGCTACTACTACTACTACGCACTACTACTACTACTACTACTACTACTACTACTACTACTACTACTACTACGACTACTACTACTACTACTACTACTACTACTACTATTACTACTCGTACTACTAGTATTACTACTACAACTACTTCTACTACTGCTACTGCTACTGCTACTGCTACTGCTACTGCCACTGCTACTACTACTGCTACTACTACTACTACTACTACCAGTACTACGACTACTACGACTACTGCTACTACTAATACTAGTACTACGGCTACTACGACTACGACTACGACTACGACTACGACTACGACTACGACTACGACTACGACTACGACTACGACTACTACTACTACTACTACTACTACTACTATTACTACTACTACTACTACTACTACTACTACTACTACTACTGCTACTAGTACTACTACTGCTGCTGCTACTACTACTACTACTACTGCTACTACTACTACTACTACTACTACTGCCCCTACTACTACTACTACTACTACTACTACTACTGCTACGACTGCTACGACTACTACGGCTACTACGGCTACGACTGCGACTACGACTACGACGACGACGACGACGACGACGACGACGACGACGACGACGACAACTACTACTACTACTACTACTACTACTACTACTACCACTACCACTACCACGACCACTACCACTACCACTACCACTACTACCACTACTACCACTACGGTTCCTGCTAACTATACAAATACGGCTGGTCAACCTTGTAGCAATACGAATATCACGAACGACACTAACTACATAATGTGATATTACTCGTATTAGTACTACTACTACTACTACTACTACTAATAAAAATAATAATACTAATACGAATTACTATTAAACGTATTCTACGACTACTACGGCTACTACTATTCGCCATACTATGGAAACTAATATCACACAATACGAATAACCCGAATGCTAATAGTTATTGTTGTTACGATTTGAAAGTACTACAATTAAGATTACAAGTATGGTGAATCATACTAATCAGGATAATTATAATAATACCAATTATATTTTCAAGAACGGCTAAGAAGACTCTACAAACACTTCCAGAGCTCCGCGCGGATCTTTTGGATCTTTGCTGGGCCCTTCTCCCTGTCGCGCGGAGCCAAGGGGTCCAGCGCCGATCCCAGGGAAGCCGCGCGGAGCTCCGACAGTTTATGCTGATGAATTTTCTTTGTTCCTCGAGAATGGGCTACACGCAAGTGGCCCCGGGTACGAATGACCTTTGGTGCGCGATTTTTTGGGGGCCGCGGGGGGGGCCAAACACAAGCGCGGAAGACGCCACTGCCGCCTCGCGTTCGGCTATCGGGGGTCCCCAGTGGGCCCGCACCAAAGGTCACTCTGGCGAAGGGTCAATCTTACGTGCAGTCGAGAGGGGTGGAAGCCTAGGAGGGGGAATGCACACCAGGCAGACAACGAGCGGGTGAAGGGGGGGCGATGCAGCAGGAAGCACGGCAGCGAGCAGTCGCAGGGCGTCGGTGGGCGGGGTCGGTCGCGCGCGGCGGCCAGTCAGGCTGCGGGCTGCCGGGCTGCGGGCATGCAAGACGAGGAGTGCACTTTCGCATCCAAGCCCAGCGGCAGGACGACGAAACGACGAAAAAAGATGACGACAGCGAGGGGAGAGGAGGGACGGGTAAGAGAAGAGAGGGGGGTAATGCACAAGTCGGTGCTTCGGGCTGCCGGGCTGCAGCCGAAGGTATCGGACCTGGATCCTTGGCCCCACAGCAAAATCATGGCGACAGTTTCCAGGTCGCTTGGCCTTTCCTTGACGCAGGATCTTCCGAGGATCCTCGAGCCCGAAGGGAAAGGATGAATGGAAGGAAGGAGAGGGGCAGGTGAGAGGGAGGGAGACGGGGGATGGGCAGGGGCATGGGGAGATGAACGTAGCAACCGAGTCAGAGGATGACGAAAGCGTTGAGGGAGGAGTGTGAGCAGTGATGCAACTTGAGAGGGAATATGGGGAAGATGGGGGGACAATTCCTCCATATCACGCGGGAAAAGAAAATATGACAGATATGCTAGAACAATGGCTTCTCAAACAGCGTGGTGAGTACAAGCCGGGTTCCACTTCCTGGATGGCAGACATCGTATGCGTCTTTCCACTGCCAGTCTGTCCGAACATGAACATCGTGCCTGCCCCGCGGAGATGGAAACTGTTCTGGCAACACCGTCACGAGGGGCACGCTTACTGCGGATGCTTGCACATGTCCGCCTTTGTTCTGGTACATTCCTCAAACTGTTGATCACGTGTGCGCCTGTGTGCAGCGATAGGCATCGGCATCACTGCTACGAACAGCCATGACACATTACCAACAAGCGACACACACACTTCGGATCTGTATGACATGCGCAGACGTCAGAATACGACCGCCGCTGAAGCTAGTCAGCGGAGGGATGGATCTCGACGGGTACCAAGATCCTGGTGCCCAAATTCCAAAGCCATACTGGCAGGAAGGTATCGACGCAGACATGGCAAGGCCTACGCAAACATGAACTGGAAAAGAGCACACACATCCACTAAATCTTATTCCTCCAATGGGCTCCTACGTAAAGCTGATCGTGCTCCGTGACAAAGTGCGCCGGATTTGCTCGCTAAAAGCAATCGCGAGAGCCCGCCCAACTTCCAATATTTTCTCATATTTTCTGGGAATCGACGATTAATTGTGTCTGTGTGTTTTTTCCCCTCCCGATTCACTGCGGGTCGGTGACTCGAACGGACACGGTATCATGGTGACGCCGAACACGGCAGAAACGACGATGATGGTAACGATGTCTTTTCACCCTCCCGCCAACCCGGGATTGCGCGGCCAACCGTTCAGCCTCGGCCAACCGTTCAGCCTCGGCCTCTTCTGCCGGGAGCGGGCACCCGGTGAGCGGGCACCTGCAGGGGTCCGTGCGCCACTGTGAACAGCCATTGCCACACGTCGCAGGGGGGGAACGCAGAGGTTCGAATGGGCGCGCGCTCGACGGACCCAGGAAGACGCGGCATCCGATCCGCTGCAACGCAAGCGATGCCCCAGAATTCCAGAATGCTCCTGCGCTCACCCTCCACCGTCCGAGAACTGGAACGGCTCGCAATACTGGCCAGCGCAGTACTCGATGAGCAGGTCAAAAGCGCCGGAAAACCTCGCCGCCCTCGCGAAGACCATCTCAAAGGAAACACGGGCCAGCAATCTTTCCGCGGCCAGCTTCTCGACCTCACGGGGATCAGCAGGGCCCGCGCCTTGAAGTGCTGGGGCGTCGTCGAGATTCGCGCGCTCATGTAAGTCCACGCGCCCAGGAAGATCCGAACGCACCTGGGGCGCGCGCGTGAAGATCTGCACCGCGACCCGCGCACACGTGAAGATCCCTACGCTCGTGTAGAACGACACCTCGCCGATTAAGGTCCACTCCCCCGCGTAGATCCGCGCGCGCGAAGATCCGCGCGAGCACGAAGACCCGCGTCCTCCTGCAGATCCAGACGCCTAGGAAGAGCAACATAACAACCCGCGCGCGCAACAAGATCGAGCCATGATCCGCAAGCCCGTGAATGCCCTCGCGCACGTGAAGATCCGCGCGCCCAAGGCAATCCGCACCGCGCTCATGATGCCACTCGCCCCGATGATGATCTGCCCGAACAAGAAGGTCACCGAGCGCAATCAGATCAGCGCGCGCTGGAAGGCCAGCATCGCGATCTGCGCGAAAGGGCAGATCAGCGCGTACAGGAAGATCAGCACTGCACGGTTTCCCCCGGGGCCGTGATTAGGCGACCCGAAGAGGAGGAGGAGGAGGAGGAGGAGAAGGAGGAGGAGGAGAAAAGGGAGGGGGAGGAGGAGATGAAGGAGGAGGAGGAGGGGGAGGAGAAGGAGGACGAGGAGGAGGAGGAGGAGGAGGAGGAGGAATTGGGAGGAGAGGAGGAGGAGGAGGAGGAGGAGGAGGAGGAGGAGGGAGGAGGAGTACGGGTCGCCAAAGCCCTTCGGAGAAAGCCTCCAGCAAGAGCACCCGCACGAACAGGAACCTCCGAGAGCGCGCGAGAGGCGCCCGCGGGCCTGGGAGGGCCCGCGCCCCCCTGCACGGGAAGCCCCCCGCGCGCGCAGGAAAATCAGCCGCGCGGACCGCACGTGCCAGGCAGGAAGGTCCGTGCAAGGATCTGAAGGCTGGAGGATTCTTCCGAAGGGCTCTCCACCTCCCTCCTCCTCCTCCTTCCTCTCATCCTCTCTCCTTCCTCTCTCTCCTCCTCCTCCTCTCTCTCCTCCTCCTCTCTCTCCTCTCCTCCTCTCTCCTCTCCTCCTCCTCCTCTCTCTCCTCTCTCCTCCTCCTCCTCCTCCTCCTCCTTTCCTCTCCTCCTCCTCCCTCCTCCTCCTCCTCTCCTCCTCCTCCCTCCTCCTCCTCCCTCCTCCTCTCTCCTCCTCCTCCTCTCTCTCCTCCTCCTCCCTCCTCCTTCCTCCTCTCCTCCTCCCCTCCTCCTCCTCCTCCCTCCTCCTCTCCTCCTCCTCCCTCCTCCTCCTCCCTCCTCTCCTCCTCCCCTCCTTCCTCCTCCTCCCTCCTCCTCCTCCCTCCTCCCCCTCCTCCTCCTCCTCCTCCTCCTCCTCTCTCCTCCTCCTCCTCCTCCCTCTCCTCCTCCTCCTCCTCCTCCTCCTCCTCGGGTCGCCTACTGCCCCGGGGGAAACCGTGCACTGCAGGCTCGTGCCACTCCCGACACTCTGGGATAGCAAGAACAGTTGGCAGTCCGCGCGTCCGAGGTCGCATGGAGGCTGCTGCCGCCGCGCTCCACGGGCCAGAAGTGCCGCATGTCAATAATCAGGCGCAGACGGGGACTTCGATGCCGACGCGCACGACGAAGCCCGCCATCCTGACGATCATCGCCATTATCATCGTCAGCATCATCGTCGAGGTCCTCGCCAAGTGGACCTCCATGCTCACCGCCATCGAGATAGGGCGGAAGAGGCAGGACAGCCTACGCGGGGCGCAAGACAATGCTGATGTGAGTCTCGCCAATCCGATTACCGTGGTCCACGGAAACGAGGTCGGGCAATTGCCGCGCAGCGGGCTGCAACCAAAGGATGACGCAGCCGTTCCGCGAGGCCGCAATGAACACAGGCAGTTACACAATGCGCAGAAAAGCTCGGTCAGGATGTGTCGCAATGCGAAACGAGCCCGGCGCCCAGTGGCGGGTTGACTGACTTTGACTTCCTCGCGCGCGAGCACCTCCCATGCCCTCGCAGTCATCCTGCTAATCCACCTGCGACATGGCTTGCGAAACCCATGCGGGGGCGACTGCGATGGCTGCTTGGCGCTGGCCGGCGCATCGCTGCGGCCAGGCGGGCGCGCGCAGGCTCGCGCGCTGAGCGGGCAGCTGGTCTGGCGCGACCGACGCGGCCGCGGTGGCGCTGACCGCTGGGAACTCCCCAGCGCGTCTCGCTGGCCGCGCCAAAGCGCCGGCACGTCAGTGCGAGTCGGTGACTCGGTCGGGCGAGGTGTCAGGGAACGTCGGCGACGGCAGACGCTATGATGATACTGGCGATGCAAGTGGCAAGAATGGCAATGACGGCACGTGCGCAAGGGTGCTCGAATGAATCTGACGCGCGCGCGCGCGAGAGGCACGTTTGGTCGCATTTGATGCGAGTGTTGAAAGTCCGATGGGCTTCTTGACAAGTCGCACCAACATGAGCGCTTTTTTGGGGGAGGGGGGGAGTTCTGGTCGCGAAACCACTGGTTCGGAGATCTTTGGAATATCAAAATGTTTTTGGTGGATTTCGGCATGCGCACGCGGCGACGCGCGCGAGCGCACCTCGTCTCATTGGCTGCATGGGCTCTCGTACAACACGCGCGCGCGATGGGCAAGCTTGATCGCAATTGATGAATATGTTTGTTGGAGACTTGCTGTGTTTTCTGTTCAGGAGAATTCGTTAGGCGCGAACGCCGGTTTCTTGAGCATTCATGTTGCGAAACCTATGGTTGTGTACATGTTTCGGGGCGCTCGGTTCCGAAACCCTTGCGGCACCGAAAACTTTCGAATTAATGCATCATGCGCGAGCGACGACGCGCGCGTTTGCACTTCGTCCCGCTTGTGTACAAATCTTATTGTGAAAGATAATCCGGAAAATGAAAAAAATGGGCGCGCGCGGTAGTTTCTACACAGGATGGGGGGGGGATGTCGGTGCCAGTTTGGCTGGAATCATACGGATCTCATATTTCGCGCGCGCGATGGGGAACGTGCGTAAATGGCAAATCCCCTACGACGGGGGGATAAGCCTGGCCTCGGGGGGGTGGGTGTGGTCGATCCTAACTCTTTGTTTTAAAGGGGAATTCATTGTTGTACGCATTGCGTTGTCAACTCCACTGCTCGCGCAATCATCCCATCCGTTCACCCGCAACACGGTTTGCAAAACCCATGCGGGGGCGATTGCGACGACTGCTTGGCGCTGGCTGGCGCGTCGCCGCGGCCGCGCCAACGCGCGCACTGTCGCGCGCAGAGCTGCCAACTAGTCTGGCGCGACCAACGCGGCCGCGGTGGCGCTGACCGCCGGAAACTTTCCAGCGCGTCTCGCTGGCCGCGCAAACGCGCGGGCACACCAGTGCGAATCGGCGACGCAGGCGGGCGCGGCATCGCGGCGACGTCGACAGCAACAAACTCGATCAGGATATTTGCGACACTGGTGGCGATGGTGACAATGACGACGGCAAAGGCAATGACGGCGCCGATGCTGATCGCGCCAATGACGACGATGCTGTCCTCGCGTCGGCGACAATGGTCGCCGAAAGGCTTCGCCGTGCGATCGCGGCCGACGGGCGCGAGTGGCCTGCGCGATGTTATTTGTCAGTGACCGTGCATCCCCAGCACGCGCGCGAGGGCGTTCGAATGATTTCGACATGCGCGCGCGGGAGGAACGTTTGGTTGCATTTGCTGAAACCGTGGGCAAACCAGCCTTGTGGCATCCTTAGGGTTCGAAAGAGAGCGCGCGCATGGGTGCGTCTTTTCTCTTGAACAAGCACGTTGCGCGTTTCCCTCTATATGTTTTCGGGGCACTCAGGTTGGGAACCCTTGCGGGACTTAGGGTTTTGATGGGTTCCAGCATGCGCGCGCGACGACGCGCGCGCGTGTGCACTTCGCCCCGTCTTTTGCAAGGAATCGTTGACAACTGGTGGTTTTGATGAACGAGTGTGCGCTCATAGTGGATTTCACTAGACGAAGGAGGGGGTCGATAGCCAGACAGCCTGGGATGGTATGAGTACATGGTTCGAACATACGATGGGGTAGACTCATATGTAACGGGCAAAACGAAGAAATGGTGAGATGTGAAGTCCAGGTGAGGAGGTAGGTCTTAGTGCTCTTTCAAACAAAAAAACCTACGTGGTGCGATCTATGCGATGCGACCTACGTGGTGCACTTCACCCAGCCGAAGTTGAAGCTGTCGACTCCACTGCTCGCGCATCCATCCCACCTGCCCACCCGCAACTTGGTTTGCAAGCCCACGCGGGGGCGATTGCGATGAATGCTTGGTGTTGGTTGGTGCATCTCTGCGCCCGCGCTAGTCCGCACATGCTCGCGCGCGCAGCGGCCAGCGAGTTTGGCGCGACCTACGCGAACGCGGTGGCGCTGACCGCTCGGCACATCCCAGCGGGCACTTCAGTGCGAGTCGGCGACGCGGGCGGGCGCGGTATCATGGCAAAACCGACCACGGTAGACGCGATAATGATAGTAGCGATGCTGGCGACGATGCTGACAGCGATGCGCGGCCACTGACGGCGCGCATGCTGAACACGCCGACGACGATGACGGCGTCCTCGTGTCGGTGATGATGGTTTTGGAAGGAATTCGACATGCGCGCGCGGCCGACGCGCGAGAGTGGCCGCATGGAACTTTTTGACACGGATCGTGCCCCCCCCAGGACGTGTGCAAGGGCGCTCGAATGGTTTCGGCATGCGGCGCGAGAGGCCCAGTTGAGTGAATTTAATGACAATGTTGAAACACCTGTGGTTTTCTTAGGAGTTCGCGAGAGCGCGCGCAAAATTCTTGAACACGGGTGTTGCGAGACCATTTGTTTGTGTACGGTTTCGGGACACTCGGTTTCTGAAATCCTTACGAAACCTTTGGTTTTCAAAAAAATCGGGCATGCGCGCGCAACGACGCGCGCGTGTGCACTTCGTCTCATTTTTTGCAAATGGATTCTCGCGACAGCACGCGCGCAAGGAAGTTGGAACGAATTCGACATCCGCGCGCGCGAAGCCCGTCTGGTAGCATTTTATGAAAAGTTTGAAAACCTCTCGTTTTCCTTAAGAACCCGCAAGGAGCGCGCAAGTTTGTTTTGAAAGTCCGTGTTGCGAAACGAGATTCATTTTTCTATATGTTTGTGGACACTTTATTTTGAATTCCTTACGAAACCTGAGGTTTGAAGGATCTCGGCATGAGCAAGCGCGACGACACGGTCGTGTGCACTCCGTCACTTTTTGTGCAAAGGGGTTCATGACAACTGATACTTTTCGATGAACGAGTGTGCGCGCATAGGTTTTTTTGACAGAGGATGAGGAGGGTAATGCCGGCTCAGCTGGGATGGTACGAGTTCATATTGAGGATGGGTGATGGGTCAGACTCATATGTAATTTGCACATCCCCAGAGGGGGACCGACTCTGTCCGGCGTCGGAAGGGTGGTGGAGTCTTTTTTTTTACAAAAGAAAGGAGAACCTTTGTGGTGCAATCTTTGTGGTGCAGTAGATGCAGCGACGAACGGCGCAGCAATGCAAACCAACGCAAAGCAATTCAAAGCAATGCGCAACAATGCAAAGCAATGCGCAGCGATGCAAAACAATGCCAAGCATTACGAAGCAATGCGCAGCAATGCAAAGCAACGCAACGCAATGCAAAGCAATTGAAAGCAATGCGAAGCAATGCAAAACAATGCAAACCGATGCAACAAGATGCAAAGCAGTGCAAAGCAGTGCAAAACAATGCAGCGCAACGCAGTGCAAAGCAAGGCAAATCAGTGCAAAACAATGCAAGGCAATGCAAAGGTAACAGCGCAAACCAATAGAATGCAATGCGACGTAAAGCAAACCAATACAAAGTAACGCAGGCCCACATGGCGACGGGGTGGCGACTGCGACCGCATAGCCGCCACATCGACGGGCAGGCCTAGAGCGACGGGGCGGCGACGGCGACCACACAATGCCGACGGGCAGGCCCACAGCAACGGGGCGGCGAGCGTGGCGAAGAAGATGCCCGCATCGGCGAATCGAACAAAGCAAATCATATGTTAAACGACGAGAAGACCTGCAGCCTCGCAGGAGGACTTTGCCAAAACAAGCGGCCAAAGGATATATTGTCCTGCTGCTGTCTGGACATCGACAGCCGACAAGCTCATCGTCTACTCGCTAGGCGGGAGTCTCATCCGACCGATGTCTACCGCAATCAGCATTGCGTTTTGCTTACCTCCTGGCCATGGCCAGCGAGTGGGCCAAACAAGTGCCGTGCGACTCGCCCCGTGCGCCGATATTAGGATCTGCGTCAAGCCTCTGTCACGCTGTCGCCCGTAACCTGCTGGATCGCCGTGCAAGCTGCATCCTTGTGCTGGCGGCCCATGCATAGGGCAGTTTCTAACACATAGGATTTATATATATAAAGATGTGTGTATATATAGGATGTGTAATGCATGATTAATGTATGGATAAATTTGTGCATGAGCTCATCGTTGTTCTTAATACCAAATCCCTGCATTTTTAATACACGACCCGCACGCGGAGCATGTATGAAAAACGGCGCTGTAAGCACTTCCGGAGTGGCGAACACGTGCGACTTGCGTACATCCAACGAAGGCCCGACGCCCCAACGGAGGGAGCACTTCCTCCTCGGAGCCGAGGCCGAGGCCTCTTCCAGAAGGCCTCTGGCTCCCCTGAGGCGGGCCGTCCCCTCCCCCCAGATGCCGCAACGGAGGGAAGAGCGACCAAATCCTCTTCTCAACGGATGCACCACAAGACAGAGCGTGTGCGGCATGGCAGGGGAGCGCAGCAAGGAGCATGGTCAGCTGTGGGGGGCGGCCCGGGCAGCCGGCAGGGGCCCTCGCGGCGTCTGCTTGTCGCGGCGCGGTCGAGATCGCGCGGCGCGGCCAGAGCCCGAGCGGGACGCGGAGAGGCGAGCACACACTTTTACGCCGGCGGCTGGGCAGAAGGACTGCGCTGGCGGATGAGGGCGTTGGTGGGACAAACGAGCGCGAAGTAGGCCGGCGGTGCACGAGGGAGGGGAGGAGGACGCCCGGATCGGGCGAGCACACACAGGAGAGAGTGGCACATCGGATGAAGGCGGCCGCGACGGGGCACCCGCTCTGGGGGAGGAGCGGTCGGCCCCCCCTAGTGGGTGGTTGTGCGTCTGCCCAATCTGGTGAGATAGCCCAACCTCTTCGCCTCCCCGTCCTCGCTCGCCCCTTCTCGCGTCGCACTTCCCCTCCCTCGCTCGCCGCCGAGGAGGGACTGGCCCGCCCCTTTCTCGCTCCTTCCCCGGCAGCGCAGGCCATCTCCCCCCCCCCCCTAAGAAGGCCCCGCTCGGCAACGCAGAGCACGAAGCTCGGCAGGGCGAATCATGAAAACGCAGATCGCGGCCGGCGCTGCGCGAAGCGGAGGCAACCAGCGCGCCCACGCAGGACAAACGGATGTTGGTCGCGGCGGCGCGCCAACAACACGAGAAGGCCATGGGTAGCAGGGACAGCACATCAAGATGAGGTAAGGTCCGCCCTCAAAAAACGCATACTGCACCCACGGGCCCGGGGGGGGGGGGGGGGGCGAGGGTCCTGGTCGTGTGCTTGGTGTGCGAAGTTCTAGATTCCTGGGGCTTGGTTTCTGCAAACCAGAGGTGTGCTCCTCGCCATCGCTCGGACGTCCATTCCCTGTGTTTTTTTTTCGGTTTCGTGCGTGTTTTTTTCGCCAAATGATCAAGGATGCTCCTCGATGGTCCTCGCCGAAGGAAAAATGCACACGTCCGAGCGATGCCAGGGCTCGGGCGGTGGAATCTAAGTGAGGTGGGGAGGGTATGGTGTACAACAAGATCTTGAGGATAAGGCTGGCATGGGGCACAATCCAGCTACAGGCCAGATCTGTTTGCCAGCATTGCAGGAAACAGAGCGCGAGAGAGCATGGACAGATGGCGAAATGATGCACATGAGCATCCCTTGTGCCTATGCCGCCATCCAGGGAGTTCTGAATCAGACGCGATGCAGCAACTCGGTAAACCTCCCCGCTCATTGCTACAAAGGGAAGGAAATGACGAGAGAACGGGACGTCAATCAACACGTGTCTTCACTTCCTGCCTCTCCCCTACTCTCCTGCTGACCCTTCTTTTCGGGAGAAACGCCTGACTGGTTGGAACGTTAGAAGACCAGAGCAAATCCGAGGACCAGATGACGGTGGATAACATCATGCCCAGACATAAGACACATGCAGTCGTATGGAAAGTAACTACAGCGTGAAACCTCTGAATTCTCGACTCTCTCGTCGAAGACGTGGTCGAACTGAAAGGTGAGGTGGTTGACGAAGGCAGTCTTCAAATCTGCCTCTTGGGAGTGCGCGCGCGAGGTGAAAAAGTGCCATAAGACGATCGACGGTAACGGATCAATCGAGCTGCCCACAACATGCTGAAGACTACAGGTGCTGGCATTCAAGCCAGGCGCGCCAATGCGCTGGCACGCCCTTCAGCCCTGGGGCGGGGTCTCCTCTCACCGGGCGTAGAGTGCGCAAGGCTGCCGTCCCGCGCCGCCCCTTCCGCCCCATGACCTTCCTCTGCCCGTCGACTGCAGGAGAAAGGGAGGGCTCCCTGGGGACCTTTGCGTTCTGACCAGCATTTCGAAGGGAATCCAGCCGTGGCGACGAGGGCCTCTCAGGAGGCACAAAAAAGGCGAAACCGCGAGGGAGGAGCAGTGCGAGCCCAAGAATTAAAACAAACCGTTTGGGCCAATAATGACATATTCTTGGTCGGCCCAAGATCGCTGGAGGTGTCCACATCGCGCGAAGAGTAGAAGGCAACGAAACTAAGCAAAACTGAAACGCCGTCTGTGGAAGAATCCACGGGCATGTGGAGCAGTCCACTGGCGCTGGCTAGGGGTCACAGTGCCGAGAGGGGGCGACTAATTAATCGTCCGCCGCTGGGAACGCCGTCCCCCCCCCCAAGAGAGAGGACGTGGGGGGTACTTTACAATTCCGAAGCTGACATTTGCGGTATCGGTACATTTTCCCCCTCTGGGGAGAGGGAGGGGAAGACGCGACCAGGGGTGGGGGAAGTAGAAGGTACCGATACCGCAACTCCCCAGACCCCTCCAAGGGTGCGCTCTGACCAAGATTTTGAAGCGAATCCAGCGGCGGCGACGAGGTCCCGAGAGGCCCAAGAAGCGAAAACGAGGCAAGGGTAACTAGCGGTATAGGTACCTTTTTCCTTCTCTGAAGGAGGGCGGGGAGGGGCGGACCACGCGGACGACGCAGCGGCGGGCACGCCGGCCGAGCAGCGCTCCGCGGCTGCGAGCCGCGCCCGCCGGCGCCTCGCCTCCGAAAAGGAACTCCGATCGGGGGCGCCCAGCGCCGCGGGGCCCGAAGCAGCAGCGGCAGCGGCGGCGGCGGGCGCATCGACCGCCCCAGTCGGTGCGGCGGCACCCGGCGCGGCGCTCGCGGATCCCCCGGCGCGGCCGGGTGCGCTCGCCCTCCCGCGGGGCCCGGCGCTCGCGGAGCCGGCTGCCCCCAGGACCCCCCCCTCGCTGAGCCCTCCCCGGGCCCCCCCCCCCCCCCCTGGGGCCGCTCCAGGCTCCCCCCCATAGGAGAAGAAAGAGGACCGGAAGAATCGAGGAGGGAGGAGGCCTCAGAGCCGCGAAAATCGCCGAATCCGGAGCCCCCGGATCGGCAGCATTGGCCGGGGGCCATTACAATACAACTCTACTCTGCGCAACACTGGCGTCGGACCGTAGATACAGCAACCTGCGCCAGACACGCTTCCCACAAGGAACACCATGGCGCATCTTTCACGGATTGCTTTCCTAAGCTTCACTGAGCGAAGATATGTGCGGTCCTTGTTTTCTGGCCCCATAGTGCTGCCCACCCAGTTTGGACGCTTCCAAAACGGCTGCGCGACCGCGTACTTCCAGGCGTCCCTGATGAACCAACTCACCTGGAAATCGATTCTGGATGGGCTGTTGGAGATACTTACTTGCTCGCGAGCGACGCAGGCAGCTGCGCGCCGTCCAAACAGGTCGTAAAAGTCAGGCACAGCGCAACTGACGCCGGCGACGCGCAGGAAAATAAACAGGCGAAGCAAAGCGGCAACGCGGCAGAGGCAGGGGCGAGCGAAGACAACAGAGGGAGTGGGCGAAACAGCAACGAGAGGAGGCGAGAGAAGACAACGCGGCGGGAGCGAAAAACAAAAGACGCACGAGGAGGGCAAGAGCGGCCAAGCGAGAGAGGGGCGAGGCGAAAAGAAAACGGCGGAGAGGGACAAACGCGCCGCAGCTCAGACTCAGGCGCCGCCGAGGACGAAGCTCCTTGCCGAGGAGCCGGAGCTTGAAGTAGAGCGACATGTCTGCCGAGTCGCACTTGGGTGGGGGTTAACGAAGTGGCCACTAGCGCGGACCGTAAGCGTAAGCGCCGTCCAATCCAACAGGACATCTCCAGGGCCATGTGATCAATCCGCATGGCTGACGCCGTCCAGGAGCCACCAGGGGCAGGGGCGCACCCCAATAGCGACGAGGTGACAGGGCCGGAAGGGTAGCCCAGTACCGACAGAGGCGTGCCAGACCAGTGGGGGGGGATGGTCGACTGCCTGCCGCGCGTGCGACTCAGGGCGGGGGGAACGCCGCCTGAAGCCAAGAGCACGATGGGGGTCAGCGCGGGCACGTCAGGAACCAGTTCCAGTGTGGGGGGGCCAGGTCGCCTGGGACCGGCGCGTGCTCTGGGAGGGCGCAGCTGACAGCCGCAGAAAGATTGGGAAAAGGGTTCGCCTGAGACATATTGCTGCACTGGCATTGGGCAGCCTGGATCACCTCCCTGCTCAATACGAATCCAGACGTCAGCCGCAAGATGGACGGGGGACACACCGTCCTGCAATGTGCCGGTTCTCTGGTAGGGTGCAGCTGACAGCCGCAGCAAGATTGGAATTGTTCTCGTCGGGTGCAGCTAACAGCCGCAGAAAGATTGAGAAGGGTTCGCCTGAGACGTTTGCTGCGCTGGCATTGGGCACAGCCACCGCGCTGCCCAGTTCGGATCTAACCGGCAGCCGCAGGACGGAGGGGGGTCACTCTGCCTGCGTTGTGCCGATTTTCTCGTAGGGCGCAGCTGACAGCCGCAAAAAGATTGGAATTGCTCTGGCAGGGTGCGGCTGGCAGCCGTGGGAGGTTTGAGTAGGGCTCGCCTGAAACATCTTGCTGCGCTGGCATTGGGCACTGTCACCGCGCTGGTCAATTCGGATCCAAGCGTTGGCCGCGGGCCTGAGGGGGGTGACTCCGCATGCAGTGCGCCGAGTCTCAGGCGGGGTGCAACAGACAGACGGAGAGGCAGGCGGGGGGCAGCAGTCGGCTGCCCACGACCAGGGGCGGGGAGGGCGGGGATCACACCTCCATACTAGCAGGCCGATGCATGTTGACTGCTTATCTCCAAGGGGCGCGCCTGCCGCCGTAGTCCACGCGCAGGCCTGCGAACTGCGAAGCGATGTCCACGGATAACCGCCTTACCTGGTAGCGCAGCCTGCCCCGGAAGCTTGACCGTAGCTGTGGCCATCTGGAACTTCAACGATCGAGCGCCCACTCTGTTGCATTGCAGCGTCGATGTCTGTTCAAGGGTTACTAGATCGTCCCGGGTGAGAATGAGCTCCTGGCGCTCTGCGCCCTTATGTTTAGCCTTCTTGACCACAATCGGACATTGCCCGCTCATCTTGTGCCGCGCAGGCGCTTGAGATATGGAAAGGAGCACGCCTGCTCAATCACAGGAGCTAGACGGAAAAAGGGCAGGCGCGGTAGGAAGCGGGGGGGGAACGGGGGCAAAGCCAGGGGCAGAAGGCGGGGGCGGAAGCCAGGGGGCGGCCAGGAACGACGAGGCTAGGTGCTCTGGTAGGGTGCAGCTAACAGCCGCCGACAAGGGGAGCAAAGGTTTCGCCGGAGACAAGGCAGAGCCGGTCCTTTGGTAGGGTGCAGCTGACAGCCGCAGTAAGAATGGCATTGCCCTGGTAGGGCGCAGCTACCAGCCGCGAGAACATGAGTAGGGTCCACCTGGGACAATTGCAGCGCAGACTTCGGGGACAGCCACCACGTTACTCATTCCGAATCTGAACGTCAGCCGCAGGACGGAGGGGGGTCACTCCGCCCGCGGCACCTGGCCTCTGGTAGGGTGCAGCTGACAGCCGCAGGAAGATTGGGATGGAATCCACCTGAGACATGTTGCTGCACTGGCCTGGGGCAGCAGAATTCAGCGACGCCCCCGCTGTGTTCAGGATCGGAGGTGGGCCCCCGATGTGCCCAGACCAGTGCGACACCGGAGTCCCCAGTGGCATGGGCCGAGTGCTCATGATCGCGGAAAAAAGGGGGTAGCTTGCCAGCGAAGTGCGGGTTGTCTGGTAGGGGTCCGAAACCCGCACAATCGCGTGCAGTGGTAGCCTGAGACCGCCCAGTGTGTAGCGGATCCTCCGCAAGGCACTGCGAGCCGCACCCTGCGGGTCATGCTTGGCCTCGTCTCATCGTAACCATCGCAGCGGACCCGGCGCCGCTCGGTAGGACTGACAAGGAGGCCCTACGTACGTGTGTGTCGACGACACTGTCTTACCGTCAACGGTGATGGATCCGCTAGGGGTATGAGGGTAGGGCAACGAGGAGCTGCAATGTGATGCCGCGATGGCGCTAGCAATACATATGGCCGCAGAAGGGCCCGGCCCCTGGCCGCCTGAGGCGGGCCGGGGAGGCGGCAGCCATCCAAGGGAGATGCGCCGCACGGGGGGCCCCGGAAGGGGGCCCAGAGCCCGGGGTGGGCCATGGGCCCCAGCCGGGCACGTCCAAGGCGGCATTAGCACGTCAGTGGAGAGCGTGCGATGGCAGGCGGGCCCGCCGCCGGATAGCCGGGGCCCGCCCAGCCATATCAGTGTTGAGTGGCGGCTGGGCCTAGAGGAATGCTCCATCTGGAGGACCAACGGGATCATCTTGAGAGCCCGCCGTCCTGCTTCGTTGGACGTCGCCTCTCCCCCGGCGCCCTTTGCCTTTGCCCTCTCCTGGGCGATGGCCCTCTCCTGCGCGATAGCACGCGCTCTGTTCCACCGAGCTCCGAGCTGGAATGCTTCGTTCATCGCAAAGGCGTTGCATTCGAATCGCGCCCGCTCGCGAAGGAGACGGGGGCGCGAATCGGGCTGCTGAAATGTGGCGTCGGCGCAAGCCCTGTCTGGGTTCGGAAGGTATACGGTCGCCCACTGGTGCCAGAGGGCGTTAAAGTAAGGGCACATGTCCATTTGTAATCTCTTCGCGGTCTCCGCGGGGGCTTCCCCGACGCGTGGTTGGAGAGAGACTCTGTCGAGGGGGGTCCGGTAGATGTACTGGCG